CCGATAGTTGGTTTTATTGCATGTAATTTATTAATACCTACTTGTTTGTCCCATTTCTTCTCCATAAGATCCCGGATGTAATTTAAAACAGGTATATAATCAGTGATAGGTATCAGAAGTGTCACAGATTTGTTGAGAGCGGCCTTTGGAGCAGAACCGGCCATTGTGTTACCAGTGATTCCAACATGGCTGGGCAACCAACAAAAGACGATGTCATATTGGCCAGTAGCAAGATCATTTTGCAATTCAAGTATTTCAATTAAAAGATTATATGACATATTTTTAATGGCCTGAAGATAGAAAATCTGAAAAACAATATTGTATTGTTTATATTAAGAGTGTTTATTGATATTCTTAAGAGCAGATAAATGACAGTGGCACTAGCAACTGCGCCACCATCCTTGGATCCATCTGTGAAGATTGATTTATATGGTTTAGGTGTTTCTTAGCTGATTATATTCATGTTTGTAAATTAGTTCATTGGTTTCTGATTTCTTAAGGTTTGTTAATCTAAAATCTTTCCAATTGCCAAGGTTGGAAGGAAGCTGGCGAAAAGGAGATTTATTTTCAAGGTCGATATGAGCAGCTGAAATGAAAGGTTTAATTCTTATCTAAAAGTGTATGGTTGCTTTTGCAGGCTCCACCATAAACGATCGAACCATAATCGAGTTTAGAACGGATTAGTGCTCTATACAAGTGAAGGAGGGTCGACTGATCACCTCCCCACTGAGCATTGGAGAAGACTTTAAAGAGATCTAATGCCTTCAGGCATTTTGCCCTAAGGTATTTGACATGAGGTAGAAATGTATGATGATGGTCAAATATGATACCCAAAATGTAGCTTCCTTAACTACTTTAATGGGAGTACCCGATAGATGTAAGCCTGGGTCCTTATGTGGTGTATATTTACGACAGAAAAGGATGCAGTTAGTTTTAGATTAAGAAAACTTAAAGCCATTTCGTTCGGACCAATCATTTATTTCATTGAGACAGAGCTGCAACTGGCTCTTAAAGGTCACATGCAACCACAAAATCAAACATAATTAAAACACAATTATCACTTATTCATGACATATAATATACATTGCTGGTTATGAAAAAACATATAACCAAAATTTTAAGAGTACAATCGCAAATAAAAAGTGCAATATTGTGTACTTGGGTTTACTTCCCAAGAAACGAAGCAGCCGGGATACCGAACCCAGTCAGAGCGGGTGTGTGTGCACTCAAGTGTAACGGCTGGTTCATTTGCAGATGCCCTCACGGCTCATTGTGTGTGTATATATAGAGATGTTGGGTTTTGTAAATACATGCTCATTTTTTGTGTATAACATTTTGCAATCAACAGACATCATAACATGTCATGTGTTCAAGTATCACACCTGCCTGTCTGTGTAATTACATAATGTGACAGAGACCGAACTCGGGCCATAAATCAATGCATTTTGTTTATGGTGTATAGCCTGATTGGTGTTAAGTTCAAATTGCATGTGGTCAGTGATAGCAGCTGTGTATTGAATATTGTCATTAGCAGACGGGCAGGCAGACACACAGGTGTCAATAAAACAAGACATTGAGTTTTGTCTGTGACAACGACATATCTATATCACAGTTAGAAATTCTGTCAACGCTCAATAATGACATTGCTTTTAAGTATCGAACTGAGAAAGTGACTCGGTAAAAAGAACGTGTGGTGAAATAGACAAATGAAATTATTTAAACAGTTAATTTACTGTCATAACATATAAAAAGCTCGTGCCTGTGATATATCAACAAAACACTAGAAAAATAGCTCACACCAAAGCCTTCACCGAGTATTCACCGGACAACGCGTTATTTTTCAACTTTATAAGTTGAGTTTGCATTTTTTGACGATTTGTTTCGGTAAGTTCATACCGAAAGGTATCAGAATCTGCAAAGTTGTGTTTTACGTTGCATGTGACCTTTAATATTGTGCATAGTTTTACCTTTACATGACATGTTAAAATCATCAGCAAATAATGACCCATCAACAGAGACATTTAATACTTTCGATAAACTATTTATTTTGATACTGAACAACGTTACAGATAACATGCTACCTAGTGGGACACCTTGATCTTGTTTGTAAAATTCAGACAATGTGGAACCCGCAAGCATCTGAAAATGTCTATCTGTTAAAAACTGTGATATGAAATTAGGCAAACGGCCTCTCAGTCCCATTTCATGAAGATCTTTCAAAATTCCATGTTTCCAGATTGTATCATATGCTTTTTCGAGATAAAAGTATAGATACAGCGTGTTGTATATTGACCATAGCATTTTTAACAAACGTTTCTAATCTAACTAAATGGTTAATGGTACTTCTGTTTTTCCTGAACCTACACTGGATATTCGTAATAAGATTATTTGTTTCTAAGTACCATATTAGTCTGTTATGGACCATTCTTTCCATGGTCTTACTAACACAAATAGTAAGTTGATCAACAATATTTAACAGGGTCTCAAAAGAGGAATCAGGTAAATGTTTAAGTAACTGATAATAAATACTATAAGCGCCCGTACCAGTAAAATGAGCTTGCCCTAAGGCAGTATTAGTTCATGAATGGAGAAAACCTCATTGTAGTCCCTCACCATTATCATAAGTAAAATTGATTTAATTATTTTCAGCTTGTTGTTTCAATTTTTGAAATTGTGGTGTATAATTTGATGAGGAGAAATGTTGACGAAGATTCTCCTAATTTATTGGCTATGTCAGATTCATCAGTTAGTAATGTGTTCCCATTCTTAAGATGATAAATACCAGATGTTGGTCATTTACCCTTTATCCTTTGCACCATATTCCAGATGTTGGACATAGGTGAATTTACGAAAATATGATAGCTCTATTTTTTTAATTTAAAACCTCACGCAACGCGTTCGTGTTTAAATATAAATTAGAGCTATTTATAATTTGGTTTAAACATATTTATTTCCAAAAGAGGAACCGGATTGGTAAACAAGCAGTATGTTGCTTATCTGAATACCGCTCTGGTAATTTCGTTACATACCTCTGATTTTCCAACACAGTATGCTTATCTACTAATTAATCCACCAGATTGGTCCATGAGCCACCGCCTTCTGGGCATAAAACATCTAGGCAATTTACAAAATGACAGTTCTAATTTGAATTTCCAAGGAAATATCATTAAGCCAAGACACTGACAGTAACATTTAATAATATAATATATTTGCGCAGCACAATATACATGCAAAGGGCGTGGCATGACCAGCCGATTGATGTAATCGGACCCATTCTACCACCCGTCTAGGTGAAGTAAGGGGCGAAGTGGTGTGTTGGGCAAACGAACGCTGTTCCTGGAACCAGTGCCCTCAACCTCCAGACCCCCGTCCTTCACCGACACAGGCGCACAGCCCATGGCAAACAGGTTGCCCAATTCGGTCTTACGACCAGCAATGGGGTGCTGTGGACCTATATGCCCCCGGGTCCACAGAGGGGTGAAGATCCATTAGCGTTACCCAGCACCCACCACGAGGAGGTTGCCGGTGTATGCCCGGTGTATGCCCTCAGATAATATCATATAAAATAAGTTCAGTATAGCACTGGATGACTTCCCGTCATAATCAACATTCAAAGATTTGGATTGCTTGATTTATATTTAGACGGGAGCTGTTTTTAAGGACAACCCTATTTTTATCTTGCCAAAACATTGTGTCTAGACACATTGTATGCAAACTGGCACTGTCCCAACGCTCGAGAATACAGAAATTAAACTGTCTATCTGGTGATGACGGGATAAGTGAGTGAGTTAAGATTTACAGCTACATCAGCAACATTTCAGCCATATTGTGACTAAAACACGTTTGGCATTCACCATAAATATATGTAAATTATAAAAACTGTCATCGAAGGACGGTAAAACCAACTAGAATATCACAGTATCAAGAAATAAAACTAGCATCTCCCTCTAAAATTGGATTTCAAATTAGGACAACACAGGATAGAAATGGGCTATAGATCGCCAACAACTGAAGGTAGATCACCATGATGATGGGATAAGACTTATGAAGGTGTGACAGATATATAACATTCCTTACATTGACCACCTTCTCTGAAGTCAGTATGTATTCACAAAATGTTCACGTCCTGTTATGTCATGTTGTTTCTCTGGAAACTGATCATGAATACTACTACTACCACTTGAACAGAAACAGTAGGGTCTGGTTTTGTTTGGACTTTATGCTGATTTGAAACTGGTACAACAAACAATAAAACAATGCGTTACACTAAAGATTTGTTTCTAGTGCAGGTCATACGCAAGGATGACAGATCCAGATCACCTGAACGCTAGAAAGTTTGCAAGCGTGGATAAATATCAGAAATGAATACAATGCGCAATACATGAGATACACAACAACCATTTGTGTCCGTATCGAGCGTGAAAACAATATCGAGATAAATTCGCATGACTGTGGAGGAAATGCCTCTGTTCACCCAGCAGAAAATGTGTACCCGGTGAGATAAAGTCATATGATAACAACCTTCTAGCGCCCAACAGGCAGCTTTGGTTATCGGGGGTAATAATGTTGTGCTCTCTGTGCGCGCTTTGAGCATGCCCCTTTGTGGTGTGGAGTATTGCGCGGTATAGGTACCCTCATTATTATTAGTAGTAGTATTATATAGGAATGACAGACTTATTAAAACATGCACGGTAACCATTCCATTTTTGAGCTAAAGAAACATCAGTACATCTTTCCACAAGCTTGCCTGTGTGCACATAATTTAAACAACAATCCAGAAAAGTCTATCGGCTTTCAAATCTGAACTTGCCCTTACATTCGAAATGCTTCAGATGCGTTTCATGCCCGAGAAATATGTACATTGACAAGAGTACTGAATGAGAGAGTTAATACTTAAAGTCACATCGGCAGTTGTTCAGACATATCATAATAAGACAGGTTTTACACACATATTAATATTTTTAAATAGCTTTAATGAGAAGACAGAAATGTTTTCTTACCCATTTTCTTGCAAGCCTGTGCTGATATACCACACAACAAGTGTACAGACCCAAAATGTTATATAGTATTGAACAGACATCGTACCTCTTCTCCGTCGACGTTCACTGAAGGATAACAAGAACGTATTGCTGCATTCTATTATAGGGTTGTTTTATACATTGTGTAGCAATATTCCCTAATGTTACACATTGTACACGTAGATTCAGTCAGGGTCAGTGATCTGCTATATTTAGACTTGTACTGGATTCAGACAGAAAGATCTGGAAAGTACTGCAGGGTGCTGGTTCCGGTGTCTATTGCCTCCAAGAGCATTGCTTTTTCTTTTATATATAGGAGGAGCTGGCTCTTGCCTCTCATGTCACATGAGAAAAATGCATTGTGTAATGATCATTATACCTGGATACTCTGCCCAGTTGCAAGCTGATTATAGTTGCTGAGAGGTGAATATCGCAGATCTTGGATTAAATTGCCTTTGGATTTGTATTGCTATTATTTTGTACTGCCATTATAGCGATACGTTTGTATTGATTTGTACTAATTTGTGAACTTTAAAACAATTGTCTCCAAATCACTTTGCTCGGATGTTTTCTGGTTTTACACAAAGTTGTTTTACTGACTGATTCTCGGTTTAGTCTCAAGTTGGGAATCAACAATTCATACCCTCACATGACAGAAACACAACAATGCATACCGATTCCGCACTACAGATGAAACCTGTTTATTCAACCCTAGAAATCTGATGGGGAGCCAAAGAACTTTGTGAAAGCTTGACTGCCGGTGCGGGATGCTTTTGGACAGTAGTAGGTAAACTAGTGGTAGAACATTGCTCTTTGTTATAACAATTACAGCGCTCTTTGTTTAGTGAGTGAGTGAATGAGTTTACCTCTACGCCGTACTCAGCAATTTTCTAGCTATATGGCGGCGGTCTAATCTACTCTGGACCAGAAAATCAAGTGATGAACAGAATGAGCATCGATATTCGCAACTGATGATATGTGTCAACCAAGTCAGCGAGCCTGACCACCCGATCCCGTTAATCGCCTTTTACGACAAGCATGGGTTATTGAAGATCAATATTCTAAACCGGATCTTCACGGGTACTTTGTTAAGTGAATATACAGAACGGGTATGAATGTTTAGCTGTATCATGGCATCTCAGTTACCTGGCTAAGTCACCTCTACACAAAATTTGAATAATTATTTAATCTATCATACTGGGCTTAGTGTAATGGTGTTCAGAGCTATCAGTAGAACAGAGAATGTCATGAAACAAAAAGATTTAATATTCTATACACGAACCATATATGGATAAATAAAGATAAATGCATATGTACTTACGTTTTCAACCGTCATCTTATCGTTCTTGGTTTTGAAAAGTATACATTAATGACTTTTTGTCGTCACAATATGGCTGACATATTGGCCATATGATGTAAACTTTTAGCTCACTCACTCACTCTTTTAAAAGGTATACCTCCAAATTATGTCTGTCTGTGACGAGACGAACAATCACAACAGTTATCTGGCCCGCTGGTATGGCATCCGTGTAATCAGCGCAGCTTTACCCTGGGTATAAACAGGTCCAACTGTCGATGAGGCCAGTAGTTGAAGTGAGCCATACCAGGAAGTTTGACAGTGCATGACATTGTTGACAAATGCAATGCGAGCAGGCCGATAAGAGTAATCGTGTTCAACGCACACACTCTGGAAAAGCAAACAAAAATCATTTACAGCTAGGTAACTGTCTTCGATCGAAAGTTTCCAGCATGAGTAACAACGAATACTTTGGATGTCAAGGAAGACAAATTTGACACTCCATGTCAGTCATTCTATGCCTAGCGTCCAAGACACCTATGCTGGTCAGACATATCTGTAATGCATATAAAAGAAACGCAAGTGCTATTGAAATTCAAAAAAGATTAATTGCCAACCCTTTGTAAACGTCAATATAAAACCAACAAACCATTGCATACTGGCCACGAACACATGGTTCGACAGACTAAATTCCAGAGAAGCGTTGTAATTCGAATATGGCAGGCCGGATCGACGTCAACTGCAGCGGGGGAGGACTCTGATTCTAGTTATGTACAAGCGTCGCTGATTATATTATATACTCACGGGGAAATGTAACTGTGCATAGCATAAAATTGCATAAAATAAAGTTATTTGAAAAGTTACAAATATGACCCTAAATAAACATTTAGCAAAGCACTTTGCATGAAATTTGATATCACGTATTCACATGATATTATAAATTGAAGAACGGTTGATTATTCTCTAGGCTCTCTAACGCTATGGAAAACACGTTAACTTCAACCTAAACTGCGTGCACGTCATGCCACAGAAAGCGCCGTGGTTTTGCTTGAGACGGAATGCCCCAAAATGAATTGGCCAGCCATTTTGGTGTCCATCGAAACACGATCCCATCTCTGTGGAGACGTTTTCAACATAACGGGAATACGAGAGAGTTGTTTCGGACCGTCGTGTCAGCAAGACAACTACATTCGGCTGACCCATCTAAGGAATCGATTCCAAACTGCAAGTTTGACAGCTTAGATCATTCCTGGGTTACGTCCAATCAGTTCCAGGACTGTACGGAACCGACTGAGGGAGCACAGCCTCCGGTACCGACGGCCTGCAATACGTCCAATTTTACACGTCTTGCCTGGGGGAAAAACTTCTAAGGTACAGGAGACAAGTTTGGGATGTTGTTTCTTTCACTGACGAGTCCAGATTTCATAGGGACAGCTCAGGTGGCAGGGCAAGGGTGCTCAGAGGTCAATGGTATGCTGACGCATGCGTTGTTCAACATCAACAGTTGCAGCCGTTCATTCAAGGACAGAGACATAATGCCATGTCGCTCGTGTTGTAACAGATTTCCTGAGACAGCAGAACATTACAGAGCTCCCCTAGCCAGCTGTTTTTCCGGACCTGTCTCTTATGGAGCACGCTTGGGATGAAACTGAGCGACGTTTACGACAATCCCAGAATCAGCCATTGACGTAGCTGAATTGGGACAAGCGTTGGTTCAGTCATGGAACCACATTCCCAAAGTTTTCTTCAATCGCTTAGTGTCATCTAAACGTCGTCGTTGTCAAGCCTGCATCAACGCCAATGGTGGACACACATGATACTGGATTTGACACTTTTGACACCACATCTCTTTAAGGGCGTGTCACAATGCCTACTGTCAAATCATAGGGATTTCGATATTATCCTGTCAACAGTTAAACAGTGATTAAAGAAAACACTACAAACCTTGTTGTTATCTTTTTGCATTACAAATTGGCATAATGCACAGTTACTTTATTGCATTAGTATACATAGTGTTATGTGAAGGTGCAGTAAGTGTACAGCCCCACAATCACTTTTCAGGAGAAGTGGTGACTCACGGTGACTCTGCAGGTTATCTTATGACATGTTTATGTCTTCTTCCTTGGTAAAAACATGATATGTTCTGGCGTTTATTCATCCAATCATACGTACGTACTGGCATAGATGTAGTAGGAAATGATAATTTAAATGAATACTAATTTGGTTGAAATGCAATTGCAGCGAACTGACACCAGCCGTCTGACACCCAAGACGCGTCCAGTGTTTGATTCCGGCTTGTCAACACAGTGCGTGTGAATCTAAATCACTGTGGTAGACGTCTTAGCCTGTATCGCACTGGTTTTCCTTCCTTAACACTGCTATAGCCAAGGAAAATGTGCATGTATTCCATGCCGTGAAAATACATGCACATGTGCCCGATGACTTGCGGTGCAACACACAGCTCAAAGACTGTGACCGCTGTTCATCGATAAAATCATGCCCTTCTCGGATATTGTGCGGAATGTATATCTCATTCAGTGAATGTATTTTTGGATGAAAAAACATGAATAGCCTTTTCAAATGTGCATGTCTGGAAATGCCGTTTAGCAAGTTTTCTTAAGGCTTGATTAATAAGGCAGGAGACGCCTGGCGTGAACCCTACCACAGATCCTGAAGGATAGATAAACGTTGAGTGATGACTGGTAGAGTTACGTCCCTTATGGAGAGTCACAAAATGCCAAAGCGTCTGTACGTTAGTCTACTCACATTCCTGATGGTGAATATACAATGGCTGGTAGTAAGTGGTCAAAAGTAAATAAAAGCGACAAAACCCTTTCCACATCCACAAATAGTAGAGTCAATTGTTCAATTCTGACCATATTATGAACACATGTTTGTTTGTTTAACTCTGCACCCATTAATATTGCAGCTCTATGACGGCGGTCTGTAAGTATTAGCTTCTGGACCAGACAATCCAGTGACTTACTTGAGATACAACGATGATGTTATATTTGGGATCACATTCAGTAAGGCGAAGCAAAAACATTCCAGTACTTTGTGGGGTTTCATTCTCATCCAGGACTCGAGCACACGAAAATGAAGCACCTCAAAGGCATTGTGTATTATATGAGCATAGCATTGGCCATCGGAGCCATGACATTTACTTCAGCAGTTCGTGTTCTGGACTACCTGTTTGGTGGCAGAGTGATCTGGATGTCTGACTTTCTTTGTAGGGAAAGGTGAGACTAAACTGATATATACTGACACACATTGAAAACGCAAAACCCATTTTGGCAATTTCTAACAAAGTTTTGTGAAGCAATTTCATTTACCACACGAAAATATAGTGATGTGAGGTTGCCGAATAAAACCATATGCACATTTGGGTTCGAACCCTTTTCGTGTTTCTGGCATGGGTACAGTTCATGAAAACACAACTCTGGCATATTCCTTGGACCTGTTGGGGTGCATGATTATCATGACATACACATGCAAAGCCAGGTTTTGGACGCATAAAAGGCACTATGGTTCAACCGTTTCACTAGCAGTCACACAATGTCACGGCTCAGTGAACAGCAGAGGGAACAAGCTATCGGGATGCTGTAGGTGGGAACATCACAAAATGAGGTCACCAACCACTTCGGAGTGAGCCCATCCACCATCAACAGACTCCAAAATCGTCATCAGCAAACTGGAAGCGTCCGTGACTGTCCCTTACCAGGACAAACTCCGGTCACGACGGCACGTCCAGACCGGCACATCCGACGAGTTCACCAAAGAAACCGCTTTCAGACAGCAGCAAACTCACCTCGAAACACCGTAGGACGTAAAGGACGCCACATCTGCGCCATGACAGTCATTTGACGTCTGCAGGCTGTGGCACTAAGGGGCCATATCGGGAAACGTCATTACGCAACGTCATCGAGTCAACAGACTCCTGTTTGCACAGCAACATAGCCTCCAACCACCATGAATCTCCAACCAGTGGGTGTTTTTCAATGGGTCCAGGTTCTGTGTGCCATTTGCAGATGGCAGACAATGCGTCTACAGGCAGCAACATGAACATGAGCTTGGTCGCCGGATTCATCAATGGCAACGTCAACGTCAGCCAAACAACGTCGCTGAGTTGACCCTGGCTTTACAACAGTAGTGGCAGAACATCCCCCAAGCATCTGTTCGACGTTTGTGCGAATCCATGCCATGTCGACTCCGTGCATGTGTACAGGCTCAGGGAGGTCACGCTCGCTACTGACGGACATAAGGGAGGTCTGTGTGTGACGCGTGACGTGTCAGCCATACTGGCGGAACTCTTGCAATCATTTTTTATGAAAATGAAGCACAATGAAATTCTCAACATATTTGTAGAACAATTTTCATCCAAGTATTGTTGTTTGTTAAGTTTTCCTCATTTGAATTTGGTTTTGCGGTTTTCAATGTGTGTCAGTATACATATTTACAAAACAAACATATGTGCCATGTGATCACATAGCAATAGTGGTGCTCCTGAGCGACGGCCTTAACCCAGGGTAGACCAATGATAAGACCCTCTGTTCCCATGCCTCTCTATCGATGCTTAAACATCATGACCAGAAACAAGTCTTGAATATTCAGACAGTACAAAACACTTTAATATCTCCAAACGAACGAAACAAAACCAACAGTTGTGAAAGAATATATATATATATGGTATCATAATTTGGCATAAAATATGTAACTATTTAATGACGATCAAGATGTCTACATTTTGTTTTTGTGATTTAGTTGCACTAACGTACTGTATTAAAATTATCAATGAATCTGCACTCACATTATTATTTTATTGATTTGCACATATTAGGCAACATGTGACAATTGTATGGGATGTAATGGTAGTTGAAGCACAATGGCACTCCGAAAAACACATCTCCAACTGCAGATAAATTGCAAAGTGTACAGTCACACTCTCATCTCATCAATCATCGGAGTCGGACGGTTTCAATAACTGAATTATTATTTGATGTGCGAAATTATAAAATCCTGAAATATATATTTGTCAAGTATATAGAACATGTTCCATATTTTAGTCAATAGATAGTAGTGAAATGAAGCACAACCATAACGTGATAAATACGAAAAATATAAATTTACAACGCATACATTTGTGTAACATGGTGCATGTTTCAATCTAAATGTCAGTATTCACATCATTACTTAAGTAATTCAAAGTAAAACAATGTCATATGATAGCTGAGCATCACGTTCCAACAATAACCAGAAAGGTGTGAAAATGGCTGTGATTATATTTTTTTTATTTTCGAGGCATATTAATAGAGGGGTTGGGTATGTTTCGAAAAAAATAACAAAACATTTGTTGCTGACAATTCGAGCTCTGTAAGGTCAAATTATGTTCAGGAATGTTTGACAATTTGAATTTGGCATCAGGAGTTAAAAGGTTCGAATACTGACAAATACCCAGGACCACTTTTCTGCAAAATGATTTTTCCAATCTTGTCAAAGGCGAGATAATTCTATTAAATCAAACAGGAAAAAGGTTATATGTAATTGCTTGTCACATTCCCTTTTGCAAATTTTGGACTTGCGGAACTTGAGTCGTTCCCCTCACATGTACAGTCCTGTGTTTGCTGGAGGATGCTAGGTCTATATCCTCGCAGTGACAATGTTCCTTTAACAATTGTTTTCTTTGTTGTTTCGTGCATCTTTGTTATCTAACGCAGCACCCAGCAAGATTCTAGCTATATGACGGTAGTCCAGTCACTGGCACCATGGGCATCGATCAACCAGGTAAATAAGTTTGACTACCCGAACTGTCAGTCCTCTTTTACGACATGCATGGACTGCTGAAGATGATCAACCAGGTAAATAAGTTTGACTACCCGAACTGTCAGTCCTCTTTTACGACATGCATGGACTGCTGAAGATGATCAACCAGGTAAATAAGTTAGACTACCCGAACTGTCAGTCCTCTTTTACGACATGCATGGACTGCTGAAGATGATCAACCAGGTAAATAAGTTAGACTACCCGAACTGTCAGTCCTCCTTTACGACATGCATGGACTGCTGAAGATGATTTCCAAACCCGGGTCTTCGCAGGTATTTGTTGAAACTATAGATTTGTATATTTCTTTAAAAGGTATATGCATGTGAGTTATGTTTGTGGCCGTAATCCGGTATTCAATGTTCTTCACGTATGCCACTCGATGTCATGCTGGACATAACTTGTGGAGTTTCGCAAATGCTATCAATACATTCATATGTGTTTGTTTCGTCCGATCGACGAGTCTGTATGGAACAGTATGGTTCTTCATCAGGGCCTCTATCGCGTAAGTTGACATCAAGCTTGTCATACGTCATGTCATCGAACTGACGATTGTTGTCTTCAGGTTTTGTCTTTGCAGGTTTAACGTTTTCATATGACCCTGTGTTGTAGCGTACAGCTTGATCTGAGATCTTCGGCTGATCTCTGTAATAAATAAACATCAATGTATGAAAATCAAATGACTCGCTCAAACAAATACTACAGTCCATTAATCAATAATCGGGTCAATTCATTTGGTACAGAATACATTTCAGAAATAACCTGAAAGACACCCGAGATATCTTGTTTTCCTCATCACTTCTGCATTGAGATCCTGAACATGTTTTACCTTGTTAGAGTGAGTGAGTATGGTTTTACGCAGCTTGTGACAATATTCCAGCAATATCACGGCGGGGGACACCAGAAATTGGCCTCACACACTGTACCCATGCCGGGAATCGAACCTGGTTCTTCGGCGTGACGAGCGAACGCTTTAACCACTGGACTACCCAGCGCCCCTCTAGCTTGTTAGAAACAGTGTCAAAACACTGGCCATGTTTTAAATGTTCTAGAAATGTGTTGGTATATATATTGTCTCATTTATGAAGCTGATTTCTCAAAATACATATACTGTTTCAACTGTTTTCTTAGATTTATTTAGATTTAAGTATAATGACGGTAACTGATATTCCTTTAAGTTTTAACCAGTGGTACATCATGTTCACTGAATTGGGTGTTCATATCGATAATGCATAATAGACAGGTTATTTCAGGAAAATATAGTACCTTTGTTTCCTCTTCCAGACAACTACTCCAATGACAATGACAGCAACTATAACCACAGCGGACGCAGTAACCGATACAATCAGGACAAGGTTTCCTGTACGAAGATGTTTTGATATCAGAACTTGATTGTTTCATGTGCAATATGACATTATATTCCTATTACCAGGCCTAATGACCAATCAATTACTGTCTGATAAAAGAATCGATCAGATGTCTGACGCGGGGATATATTATTACTGATGATATTCATACTGCTGACAAAAGACATATTATACCTCTACTCTAGAGCCGACCCTATTAATTAACAATCAATCAAGATAAATGAATGTTATTGTTAAAGTTCGTATCTGGTTTTAACTATTCCACGATTGACGTTACGTGCACATTGTAGACAGACAGATAGATTGTTTATGAAAGTCTCACCTCAATACAATATAGATACAATACAATATAGATACAATACAAAAAATCAATAGAAGATTAAGCCACTCCTGTAAGGAATTATGAGAGATTAAGTTCTGTAAAATGTACACAAAGATAAAACATTATTGTATAAAACGAAAAATGTTATAATGAACATAAGCAATTAAATTATAAAGCTTGATTAGGTATTACATACATATGCCTGTGCATACACATAACACTCACGTTTAGAATGAATAGATTGGCAGGTTTTGGCAGCAATAAAACACACATTAGGGGCTGGATAAGATATAATCTAAGATGCTTCGATGAAAGATCAAAGGCGCCGACAGTACTTTATCAGACGATAATGTGCACTTTTTGATTTACGTCACAATGGCAGTGACGTCAATAGACAGCAGTGCGTCAGTTAGCCCTGTGCGAGGATTCTTAATTTAGGTCGCCGACACCGTCGTTTGTTTTCTACCTTAGATTAATCGTAATGAACAATACTTAGAAAGTATTAAATTTGGCATCTGGTTCCCGGCTCCCTTTGCGTGTGCCAACTTGCAATATCCGAGACGGGGCCCATGTACCAGAGTTTCGGTGACAGGCGTATCTTCAAGAACCAGTTTTGGTTCCAATTGGCAAATTGCATGACCGCCAAATGTGACTTTACTTGACCGGACATAGTGTAAAACCATGCTTGGCTGTCCAAGTTGTTGACAGTGGTAACAGTTGGCTGATTTGGGAATGGTTAGATCGAATTACTTTTAGTCCCAAAAGGATTATCGGTTCCTTACAGTCAACTGACAACCAGGAGACAAACGTTGTCTGTCACCTGAAGTATTAAGTTCTAGCGTAGTGCCGCGCCCTACTTACAGGCCCTATTTGTAAATTCTAGTTAGTTAACGTTTCCTTTGTAACACCACATATATACATATCGTAGCATGCCAGTATTTTAGTGAACGTGTCTCTTCATCTGTTGTTCACATGTCTCATGAAAGTATTTATATTTTTCACGAAATATCAACTCTAGAAATGCTCTTTCTGGAGAACAAAGTGTTTTAGCAGTTTAAACAGATTTTTGCAACATTGATCTTTATATACATACCCCTTATGGATTCTGACTTTTATGTTATGTTAACCTGTACATCAGATTTTTCGAAAACATCCAGCATATTATCTATGCATTGTCTATTTCGATTATGATGGCTTGAACAATTGAAATGTACAGTAACGGTTAGCCATTCTCAGTTTAGCGAAAATTCAGGTAAAAAAATACCGGTAAAAGGAGAGGGTTTGCACGTCTCCACTCCATCTGAACAAACGACATCGCTTCTCTGCTGAGCTCCATTATAGGCGACCACAGTTATGTAAAACATTCCACAAGACGGCGCTGTCCATGTGGCTTCAGTAGTGCGTGTTGATTCCATCTGCCATCAGAAGAGTAACACCATAGTACATACACCTTTATGTACCATGATAGTGGATATGTAAAAGCAAACCTGTGTTTTAGCATTACACTTGATACCAACGGAAATGTACTCTGAAGAGCGAAATCTTCTTAGCGACTCATGCTTGTCGTAAGAGGCGATTAAGGGGATCGGAAGGTCAGACTAATTGACATGGTTTATGCATGTATCCCAATTGCGTTGATCGATGGTCATGATGACAATCACTGTATTGTCTGGTCAAAGCTCGATTATTTGCAGACAGCCTTCATAGAGCTGGGATATTGCTGGGTGTGGCATTAACCAACACACAGACATATTCACCACAAAGAACAATGAAACACTAACGTTTTTGGTGCTATTAAGGTCAAACTCGTGTCCCTGTAAACATCTTGGTCCGAAAGTGTACTGGTAAAAGGCAATTGCACTCTCTCTGTCAAAGAATCCTTCCCAGTGGGCGTGGAGCTGTAGACTGTCCTGGTAGTCCACTTCCGGTTGTCCAGACTCACCATCGTAGACAAAGCCAGATTGAAGGGGACTTGCATTCACCTTGATCTGACATAGGTATTATTACTATTGTTAGTTTAAATTCTAATGCGTAACATTGAATTGAGTAACCAAATTGGATTGTACAAACACACTGGACATACTTGCTCGAACCTCTGAGTGAAAGCTTTTCCGATCAAAGGTTAATTAATGCTTACCTTGGTTTATTGCTCTGTGTTAAAATATCATGCAATTTCATTTCTTAACTCTGTCAATGTGCTACAAGGTAATGGGTCTGTCCATTGATGTTTCTTTTCAAAACAACGCAAACGTCCTTTTTTGACAATTAGGAGTTGATTCGTTGATGGTTTAGACGGTAACTCAGTTCTTCGACATAGGTGATATCACATACAAAAACCAATGTAGCCATTTACCTTTACTTTCTGTTCACATTTTAGCTTAGCATGATTTGTAGCTGTGACTTGAAACCAGTATTCCTTTCCTTCAGCCAACTTGACGTCCCTTATGTCTGCCAGGGCTGGTTTCACTTGGTAGTTGGAATGATAACATGTGCCAGCTGGAGTACAATAACAGTTTCCATCCCTTGCATCGTGCATGGTGTTGCAGTTGGCCAGGGTCTGGAATCATTCGTTCATTGAAACATCACATTTGATATATAAAGTTAATTTCATCATAATCATTACTTTGTATTGAGATTCAGTAGCTTAAAACAAGAAGGTTATAGGTAAGGGTCATGTTTGTTTCTGATGTCACTGTACCATTCACAACCTAACTTATTGATACTAAGAGCAAACAATGACATACACGATAACTTTGAACTGAGATGCCATGGACAGCTAGAGCGATATCTTCATCTTGCCGTTTTTCTGTGATTCTCCATTCCACCGTTTCCACTCCACTGTGTTCATCGTGCAGATGAAACTCCATTCTATTCAATCAGATATAGATATGCCTGATAAAGCGTGTCACATGTTTTCGGATTTATATTCGTGAATACATTATATTCCTGAAATTTCATTTCACACAATGTTCAAACTTTAATATATAATCGTGTTTGCAGTCGAGCTGTGACGTTTGAAAGATGAAGATAAAAAACCCCACTGAATTGCCAAATGGCAAAATCACAATAAACGTTCTTACATTACATCCTGAAGTTCCTCCACTCGATGTATACTGATGATGAGGCTGCCGCTTCTGTTTAGCCAAAGGTTCTCCATGACTGGAGGTGATGTGTCGATGTGGACTGTCACATGTTCTTCAAGGTATTCGGGTCTGATGTCATAGGCTCGGATCCAGAAGCGTACAGTGTCCCCGTCCACTAGCGAGGGTGTTATGGTCTGTGACTGATTCAGACCTTGACTGGTGAACAGGTTATCAGCTGGTGGACTGTTGATGGACGACCCTCCTTGGTGGTCGACTTTGTATGACGTCAAGAATTGTGTTACACCTGTTAATATGAAGAACATCCTCATTTACCAGAAGGGGGGAAACAGATTAGGTTTCAGCGTAAAAAGTGGCAAACAAAGCGATTATGTATTCTTCTATATGACAATCATAAGTGACATGTTTGAACTAGCGTACATGCATCATGAATATTGTATGCGAGACAAATGTTTGACACATTGTGTGATTGATGAACTATGTGTCGTTTGATTCCGCAACGTATTTCCATTCTGTGTAAACAAGCTTGTATATTGTGCCAACCCTGAACATTGATGATGGCAGCCACACTTCTGTCACCCTCTATATCATCATAGTCCGAGCTGATGTCACCAACAGAAGCCACGCCAAGGAGCCACTTGTTGTTGTGGTGGACTGTGTTGATGTATCTGTTGGTCCAGTCTACTGTCACTGATGGTGACGTAGATTGCCACTCTGATGTTGCTGATGATGCTGTTGTCACACTGAGGGATGTTTTTGCTTGTGTTGTTACAGTCGAAGTACCATCGTATATCAATATTCTTCTAGTACTTCTGTGATTACCTCCCTTGTCATAGACGGATAGGACAACAGAGTACACTCCCGCCGTAGTCAGTGTGTAGCTGTTGGACGTCTGGAACATGTACATATGTCAACAATACATACATCTGCTAACAAGAGAAAAGGTCACATTCCACCTTTTCAATGCATTGATGTACTTTGAACGATGTTCCTGTTATTTGTAGCCGATTCAAGGAGTCGCACTTATCATTTCTATTTATTATCACCCGAATGTATGGAGGTAACACCCGCACGCGCACGCTCACACATAACGCACACACACATGCACTACAAAGCTGCCACATGCATGCATCCACATGACACTACTATTTGTTTGCGATTAATCACCCTTGTTTTGAAATTGATTTAAATATTGCAACTACAGCAATGAATATCTCACCGTGGAGCTTGTCAACGTTGTAGTCTTAACACGACGCTTAGCTCTGAGTACATCCCCAACAGCGTGGAGTTCATACACGTCCCTCACAAAGTGGTCGACTCCTGCTTCAGCATCTGACCAGCCACTCCAGCGGAGGTTCATTGTGGGCTGAAAGAAGTCATGGAATCATTCTCCCTGTCAACCATCAACATCGGGTGTGAAATATAACTGTGGTCATATACTTACAGTCTTGATAACATCGGGAACAGTCAGCATGCTGCCAACACAGGCAGTAGTACCAGTACAGTGATAGGGATCCACCAGGTCTATGGACACAGTAAAGGTGTGGGTCTGTGTGGCACTGTTGTAGTAGTAGGTCGCCAGTGTGTTACTCTCCTTGTTCCGGACCTTCACATACCCTCCATTACTTGCTGAATAAGTGAATTCGATACTGAAAATGATAATGTCAAAATATTTATAGAAACCTAGGACATTCAGATTCCAAGCTTAAGACGAAAGCCAACATTTGAAATTAACAAAAGTGTATGTATCGTGTACCAGACTATGTGAAAAAATAATGTGATGAAATAGGTGTACTCAAATGTCAGGGTGAAAAGCAACACTACCCAAACGTCCATTCTGCTAGACACAGTCTAAACTGTATAACGTCATTTACGAAATCGTTGTTACATCCAAAGTCACACATCCTCTCCCCCTCTTCCCATACTCACACATCTCTGTGTTGGAAGGGCAGTGGGAGTACAGACGCCCCTGATGGGTTTCCTTCGCAGGTGTACAGGTCGGTGTCCGGGCTGCTTCGACTGACTCCTCCACAGTTATAGACCTTAGTGGAGACAACACCTGCACCTTGGAACAACAACACAGTCAGGTGATTGAATAATGATGTACGGACAAGAAGCACAAGATCACCAGTTGGATGATTCATGATATGCTGACCTTTTACAGTGATTCAAACACATGTTCATGTGATAGTCCGCTCTTAGCGGTGGTTTCTAATGGATGTGGAATGGTGTTGTCGCTTACATTTAGAAATCAACCACCGAATAGGATATGTCTTTGTACTGTCAGATGAACGATGTTATACCAAACTCGGTAGAAAATCCGTTCCAACTTTGAATGCATACATAGTATGTTATATTATGCATAGTGTGACCTCTTTTATCGCACACACCTCTCTTTAGTTTGAATGTAGCAGCACCACTGACAATTCCAACACGGAAGTCTTCAATGAAGGCATGTCTGGATGGAGGTACCATTTTGTATTCTGCCGTAAACTTGTAGTACATTCTGGATGGAGAGTTGATGTTTGACCAGCTAGTGGACTGAGATGGACCACTGTTGATGTCGGGAGGTGCCTCTGTCGTGTCGCCGTTGCTGGCGGTCAGTCGAAGGAGGTTGGAGTGTATTGTGGGCATCGTTGTTACTGTGACAAACGTGTACAAATATACGAACAGTGTACGTGTACAAACAATACGCCAAGCAATAATGCAATATAATTCCGTTGATCAAACGTAAATTATGGACATCATTTTATTTCGTCAAAGTCTAATCAGAAAGATGTATAGCTTGGTGTATTAGCTAATTATCATGTTAAACAGTAAGACGGTTTCGCTCATTACAACTGTATAATGAATAACTGTCAATAATGCGAAGCCGCCTCATCGTCAGCAACTTTGTATAATGAATAACATGTTTTTCAAACCTATGTTTGAAATGCTTCAGATGAATGCCGAAAGGCCAATGGATAGGTTTTAACGAGGTTAGTGATAAGGTTACTCTTTTTACCCATTTACTTGCAATCCTGTAAAATGAGAAATGCTCCAGAAGCAAAGTATCACTGAAAATTATATGAATGTATCACTGAAAATCAGAAGTGACAGAAGGTCTTCACCAAGAGGCAAAGCATGTTTAGTTTTATTTGTGATGCCTCGAAGTGTCAACTTACTTGTCTGACAATGATTCCTTGTGACGCCGCTGGAGCAGGCACAGTTACTGGCGTACTCGTTCCTGCAGGTCCCGGGATAACACCGGGTGCTGTCACTCCGCCACGAACACGCCTCTGTAGACACAGATGTAGGGACTAGGTTTTACAGCATGTTTAGTTAAGAATCTAAATGTGCTCTGTGTGGTGTAGTGGTGGTATATTCTCTTACTTCTATGTGATCTATTGTCAGAGGAAGCAACACATACATTGCATATGCACATCGGGATAGTTCCTTGTTTCTGACTTAAGTTGACTGGAAATGATTTCTTTGTGAAAGTTCCCAATGAATAATGGAACGCCCCCATCGTATGACAACATTTACGATCAGATTCAAGATATATGCAGTTTGTGTGAGTGTGTGTGTGTTTATTCATAGCTCGATGAACTGGAAAATAATAAACTAATAGAAACCCGTGATAACACCGGCCACGAACACGCCTCTGTAGACAATAATGTACGATCTAGGATTAATAGCATGTTCAGTTAAGAATCTGAATGTGCTCTGTGTAGTGGTGACAAGGCATGTTTTCTTACTTCTGTGTAATCTATTGTCAGAAGAAACAATATTGGTGAAAACGGATGTTCCTGTACAGTGTGGTGGTTAGGTTAGGCTGACAGGAAGAGATATATTTTGACAGTTTCAATGAATAAAATAACGTCGCCATAGAATGTTTCGTAACATTTAAGATCATCTCACAATGTATTGTCTTAAGATTCAAGGTTCTTGCGGTTTGCGGGTGTGTTTTGTTAATCATAGCTCGATAAACTGGAAAATGACTGTAGCAGGAACCTATAAGCACTCATTTTGGACATACGGTTGACTCGTTCACCAGTAGCAACTTACGTATGCATGATCTTCTATCAGAAGACGTCACATACGCCTTGTGTCCTGCCTGGTCCAGCACGACCCCCTCACAGCGACTACACACCTGGTTGCTGATGCTGGTGCATGTCTCCAGGTCACAGTTACTGATGGCGCTGCACACTGTCAAAGGAAACATAGGATATGAACAACGTGAATTTCGAGTTGGAAACGGGCTCAAAGTCGCATTAAACGGCGTGCCAGCTTAATATGACAGGAACAGTGATGCAGTTTTCATACATTAACTTTGTTAAACCACGATTATGGTGCTGACAGAACACGAAACAAAATCGAGGCGAACCGGGATTCGAACCCGCATGTTTAGGTTAAAAATGTGCCCCAAGGGACGTAACTCTGCAAAACGAATGACTGCGCTTGAGTTCACTTGGCCATACACGCCACCCATATGCGTGAGTGAGTGAGTTATTATTTAGTGTCACATCGGCCATATTGCAGCCGTATCGTGACGAGAACATTCTAGCTTATATCAATATGAAAATGAATAAAGTTAGAAAATAGAAACCTGTTATCGAAGGATAGTAAAAACACTAGAGCATCACATCCATATAAATTTAAAACTAGTACGCTATCGTAAAATTAAATCAATAAAGACGGGCTATAGATCACCAAAACCACCCATATGAATGGATCGACTAAACCTATATACACCCACTTCTGCAGCGTTCATTGCTGGGGTAAAAGCCTTCATTACAGTTGACACAGGTCCCAGGGGAAGTACAGCTGCACCCACTCTTGTTCTGTGTGTTGCCGTTACTGTAGACGATGTGAGATGTCCTGTAGTCGATGTTGCAAGCAACGGGGTTGATCTGATTGTCACATACAGCTGCAATGTGTAATTAAAGTTTCATTGTTACATTATGTGGGATTGAACAATGTCATATAAATGTCCAATCATAAGAATTACACGGCCCGTCCAACCTAATGTTATCAAGGTATACAGATCATCAGATTATAATGATAAAAACTGTAGCTAGGGCAGACCTTCCTCAAACCATGTAGCACAATTCACTTACGATGTGGGCAGCCTCTGTTATCTGTTGTTCTGTAGCCTGTTTTGCATCTGTAACTTGTGACTGCCCTCTGCCTGGTAAAACAAAAATGTGTTCTCTTACCATGCGTTTGATATTGTCAACATAGGAATGTTCAACGTCATAACAGTGTTAATATAATGTGCTGTAATATTCTACCTCAACTATGATTTGGTCTTCGCAAATCTGTCAGAGAATTTCCGTTTGTTATGGAGGTCAACCGTAAATGGCAGCAAATGTGGTCCGAATATAACTAAATCTTCGTCCCAAACTCATTAACAGAGAGACCTAGTCAGATCGGGTACATAGCATCGTTTATATATGAAAAAACAAAAACAAAGCAAAAACATTATGAATAACAACCATTCTTTTTAAGAAGTGAAGTTTTACCTGTATTTTGTGCACCGCCAAGCGTAGAAAAGTCTACACCCAGTTGTGTAGCGTTCTGACCAGTAAGTTGTATACGCCTCTACATTTACACTGAAACGAAAGTAAGACTTGGAGGTATCATTATTTCCTCACCTCACAATGTATGCAAACAGCAAATGCCATCATGGACGTATAATACATTAAGTAAACGACTCATTAATGTGAACAACATCAAATGATTGAAGGTCGTATTTACTAACAAATATCAGCAAACTGGCAATATAGCTACATGAATAATACTTTTTTGTCTGTAATTTCTTTTATAGCCCAGCTTATTCTGAAGGGTTGATGCGTCCACTCACTCAGTGACATACATTGTTTAGTGTTTTGACTCAGTACTGTGAATGTGAATGTTATTCGCCTATTACTTGTGTCTCAATACGTATAATTCACTATGCTCAGGTGAATGTGCACCTTTAGCAATAACAAGTAGGAAGAGCCCCCCAAAACGAACATCAAATACTCAACTGGTTGAGCAAAGAGTAAAGCCGAATAATTTGGAAGCAGGATTAATGAACGCCTGTCTCATTGCTGTAATTGTGATTGCGAGGACCCATTTTTATCTTTGTTAGGTCAATCTCGGAATTTTATCATATGGGGGTTCTATTTCACCCTCCGCTTTTTAATTTGTCAATTTCTTAAAAAAAGTATCAAAATCTGCAAAGCTTCTTTTGTGAGTTAACCCGCTCTTGGGCACAATGTGTTAAGCCCATTTCTGGTGTCCCCCGACGTGATATTGCTGGAATATTGCTAAAAGCGGGGTAAAACTAAACTCAGTCAGTCAGTATCACTATGTACAATCGATAGCGAACATATTACTTCATACGTTGTGGCTTGAACAACTAGTACTGTTATCACGAACACAAACACTCACGTACGCACAAATTATTATGAAAAATTCCTTCTTACTGATCATAAGAGAGTTTAAGATTGACTCATTTGAGGGCAACAATTCATCAATACCAAGCTGAGATCAAAAAGTCAATTAAAGGGTCCAAAGGGTTTTACATATTCACTGTAACATTACCGCATTCAGCAAGGTCGTGATCGTAAAAGAACAAATGACGCCCAACAGTAATCCATACCGACCTCATCCATACTTCATCATATCTCTTGTTTAGTAACAGGTCGTATATTCGGGGCATGTTTCAACTCTTCTCAGCTGCAGGATTCACCTTAAAATTTTAATCCACGTTTTACAGCTTTACCAAATTAACTTTGATGACTAATCAAAACTGTCTGTTTTCTCTTATAGCGTATGATGTCGTTACGTGCCGTAACTGGGACAAATTCCGAATGCAATCCTCTTCAACAGCAAGGAACAAACAAAAACTTTTTTATTGTGGAAATGTACAGGATATTTGGACAGTAGTTTCTTAATGATCCATTCAAATGTCCATACACTAAAATTCACATGAATGCATGTTCTTTTTTCTGTCAGTGTGTCTTGTTAGTTTGTTTATATGTACAACAAAATTTAGTTTGGATGGTTTTGCCATTATTTTCAAGCTCGAATATGTATTTGAATGGGTGTTATGTCACTGTTACATTATGTCTAAATCCCTAATCCCTAAATAAGATATTATGTTTATCTAACGACACCTCACATGACAATCGTAGTGTCGCAGTATGATTTGTTCACCTCAAGAATAAACAGCACGAAAAGTCATTTCAAGGCGGAAGTGTTTGCTGAGCCAACATGAATACAGTCATGTTATGAAATGTTACTCCATATATCTCTCTCTCAAGATTGTCAAATCCACTGGACCTGAAACTAGTCATGCATGCTGACACACGTCAGGGTGAAATACAAGTCAGTACCACGATAGTGTCGCAGTGTTCACACGGGTATAGATGTGGTTCCTCAAACACAGATTGCATAACTAAACGACTAAACATACATTTGTTACTGACTAAAGTTGTACTATGGGTTTGTTAAATCACATCAGCATAAATAATGCCATTATTTTCCTAAGGTATTAGCAATTATTGGGTTTCAGCGGCGGGCAGGTGTAGCCTAGACGATGAGAAGCTGTAATCTCAGAACATCGATCGAAACATCGGTATCTCGTTGTTATCATGCAAGTTTCATGAAAACATATAACACCTAATATACAATAAGAATAGACGAGAGGCTGTTCTCATCAACGAATGCTGTATCACCACACCTTGGAGGTGATGTCAGTCGCCGCCGAATGGTACTTACGTTTATGGCATTGTACGGCTTGTTAACAGCGATCCAAATGTCTTTATGTAATCGAAATATTTGCTTATGAACATATTGATCCCATCTTATGGCTTTGTACGACGACACATGAAAGGTGTTATATTCGATTGGTTTCCTGAACATGAAATCGAATCTAAACAACTCCTCTCAAATATTGGTGATTGTGCAGTAGGAGAAGCTCTACTGTGTTGCACTAGATGGTCCATGAAGCCACAAAGGTTCGGGTGGCAAACGCTATTCAGCAACAAACTTTCAGTATTATACCAGCGACTGAAGAGTTTTTTGAATTTGACGAATAACGCTAAAATATTGTGTATATATTAAAACAGGTCATCTAAAACATTTGCTCTACTTACAGAATAACAATACAACTTACAAATGTAACATATATATTAGGTTGTTAAGGGGGAGCCAAAAATCCTCCATTTTGCTTCTATGACGTCATCAACCCCTGGTCTCGTGTTTGAGTCTATGTTAGACTATGACTTAATTGAGTATTTAGACTAGGTGGGTATATATATTAAGATCCCAAAACATTGTTTGGATATTCATTTTCAGCTTAATCGCCAGAGAGAACATCTCGTCTCTATGAAAACCGTTCTATGCTCTTGACTCTACTGGTTCTGGTGGCTGTTTACCTTGAAGATAGACAATGGAAGCAGCTCACCGTGATATTCACACTTGTGATAAAGAGGCCCTGGTAAAACTTCAAAATCTGAGATGTCGTTTACATCTGAGGGACGATGTCTATGTGATAGCAAAGACATGGAATGGAGAACTAGAAATTCATGTTAGGAAGTAAGAAGTATACCCGAGTGGCAAGTCCTACCCTAGAAACCAAGGCATTGTCCTGAATTTGAAACATTGGCTGGAAGTGTCCAGTGTTCATTTGCAGCTAAAACAGCAGGGAAGGTACTCACACGTCCATGTTGGAGGGAACATGTACACTTCCTGGGACGACAAGGGTATTGATGTGTGACAGTGGTAGAATGACCAAAAAGGTGGTAAAGTGATACCTACCAACAAATGTATTCTGTTGTCTACTAATCAGTGGGAAAAGCTGGTAGATTGTGTGAGAGTTACGTTTGACTTTGTGCCAGAACTGAAAGAGATGGTTCCTTGTATGCTTCAGGACGATCATCAGAATCAGATTGGGTACCTCATGTGTTCCTTCTGTAATCTAGTGACTACAGTCACTTGGTGTAAAGACAGCCTTGGCTTAGACACTGTACTGTGTGGACGTGATACCACTGCTCTCCCATCTGGGATATGATGGATGTGTGAGGACATGAACCACTCGACAAGTCAAATGACCCAGGCAGGATTTGTGTACTAAATCAGAGGGGACGCTTGCAAGTGTTTTCAGTATGGCCTTGTTCTCAAGAATGGGAAAGTAGATGATGATCCCTGGGATGAACATGAAAATAGTATCCAGACTGTCCGTATTTGGTAGAGATGGCCCGCTGGGGTAGTCATGTGGATTTACAGGTGTAACTAAGAGTGTGATATACATTGTAAAATATTGTATATTTGTGAAACTGTTATTGGTAATAAATCAATGTTAAAAATATATCTGCATTGTCTGTCTATGTATAGTCTTTTGTCGATGTGTAATTATAGGTTTACTCAAATACAAATCTCATTGAGATGCAAACCTCGATAGGAATAAGAACTTGCTTTCTGGACTTATGGCTCGGTACGTGTTGAAACATTTTTTAATGTTCATGTTAATGTTTCAAGACTTTGAGGAGATTCGGCAAGACATCTTAGAAATGAACAGAGAACAGAGTCTTGCCGTCAATAGTATTTTCAATCAGTTATTAAAGGGAAGAATACCAGTGACTCGATATGAAAGACGTACGTCGTTACCTGAGGAACAGTTATAGAAATAGCTATCTAGCGATGTTACGAAGATTAGATCGCCCCCTGTGGACTTCAGATGGTATTTGGAAGAGTCCTCTTGCCAGTTACATGCCCATCGTAGCATTTGTTTTGAAACCAAAATTTGTCAATGCGCTTAGAGATGAGGCCATTCAAAATGCCTGGTTGTTAGATAGAGCATAGGCTTTTTACAATTAGTACAAATACCCATGTTAGGTGTAGTGTTCCGGAGGGGAGGGGGTTGGCGGGAGGCTCTGACTATCTAGCAGTTATGTTATGCTGGACCCAAGAAGCTATTCCTAGCTATGGAAACTGAATGTCAATTAAGACGTGGGTATTTTTATAAAAGGCCACTTCAGAGTGTTGATTATTAAATTGAAATGTTCAGTTAAAGTTTACCAAGCGTAGGTAGAGCTAAAGGAAAATGGGGATTCATTGGTATGTAATTATGACATTTAAATACACAGCTATCACTGGACTATATCCTTTCGTCATTTTGGTTTAAATACTATACCCGCGGAACATACAGAGCCGTATTTCAAGAATACATTGTTACAGAGGACTGAAGTGGTAAACTGATTAACACCTTACTACGGATGTGTAGAATATATTTTAAGTTACACAAAAAGTTTCAAAGTTTTGCAGTCGTTGGAGTTAAAAGCAAATATTTTAAATGATATAAATACAGGAAATCATGGAAGAAAGGACAGCGTGTTTGAGGCACCCTAGACGAAATCTGATAAGACGTGTCTTGAAAGAACATGTATCTTGGCACATGGCAACATTGTCAAATATTCGATTTGATATGATTTCAAACAATATCATGCGGCCCATTTCCACGTATATAATAAACTGAACATCAATGAAAACGCACCAGTCTAAAATTGTCCATATTTTCATCAAGATGAATTTCAGCATGACAATGATCAATGAATATAACTAACATGAAGTCGAAGGGTATGTCCAGTTGAAATAATGCTTTAGAAACAAATTCCAGTCCACAGTATGACTCTAAATTCCAAAATGCATCAACATGCAGCCACGCCATGAAAAAAGCGCGAATTTCATTCTGAAATCATACTGACTGTGACATTAAGAGCAGGTGTATGAGAACCGATTCTCATTGCTTCACTAACGATTGTGAAACGAGGACAGAGATGCCGAGGTTAACACCTCAAGAAAGCGAACGTGCACTAGGCATGAATCAGGTTGGCACCAGCAGCAAGGATATTGCTCGACAACTTGGACTTGGCCACTCCACCAACGTTAGGCTTCATAGACGACATCAGTAGACAGACACCCGTGACATTCAATGACCTTGGCAACAACGTGTTACGACGCTCCATCAGGATCGCCATATTAACCATGTCCATATCAGTTATTGAACACTGCCGACTGCAAGTACTGCTGCACTAGTTCAAGGTTGACGTGGGGGTCATCAGCGCTGACTCCATGCGTCGCCGTCTACACGCTACAGGGCTCCATGCTCGACGTCCTTACGTTGGACCAATTCTGACTGTCAGACACTGTAATGATCGTATACAATGGGCTAGCATGCATTTTCAGTAAAGGTTACAACAATGGCATGGTGTGGTAGTCACTGACGAGTCATCTTCATCTACGTAATGCTGACGGCCGATTACATGTTTGGCGTAGACGTGATGAACGTTATGCTGATGAGTGTGTGGTTCAGACAGACCTTTGGGTGGTCGGAGCGTCATGGTCTGTGGTGGAATAAATTACAATCTCAGGCTTGTCTCAGGGAGAGTTAATGCCATTTATTACCGTGAGCAGATTCTTCAGAATCACATCACAAGACAACGCACGGGCACACACAAGAAGACTTTCCATGCAGTATCTGGCCCAGCAACACATCCAGGTTATTCATTGGCCAGCACAGTCGCCAGATGTATCCCCCATGGAGCACTTGTGGGACGAAATTGGTCAAAGTCATTCACGGCGACAACAGATGCGAAACATCCGGGACACTTGAGACTGCACTACTGCAGATGTGGAATGCCATCCTCAAGAACTCTATTCGGACGCTTATTGACTCAATGAGGAAACGTCGAACTGCATGTGTCAATGCAAATGGCGGTATCACGCGATATTGACTTTTCGATTTGACCCCACGTGTGTTTGATCCTTTGACTGTGGAACATTTCAATGAATGAGCGTCTTTTCTGTGTTGTTGTTTTTGTCAGTCGTCCATCTGTTATTATCCACTCAAAAAGTTTCAATTCCGTACACGTGCTTTTAATAATCTGAACTTTTCTAAGTGGTGCGTTTTCAATGATGTTCAGTATATGAAGCTAAATACTTAATGAGTAAATATCGATAATGAGACGCCATTTTGCAGCTGCCTAAAAAATCAATATATCTCACTAGCAATAGTCAAGAAAAGCCTTTGGTCTTTGAAACCTATATTTACATGCTCCAGATGAATGCCCAGAGGGCAATGGATATATTTTGACGAAACTTCAGTGATTAAACAGAAGTGTTTTCTTACCCATTTGCTTCCAATCCTGTGCTGAAATTCCACGTTGCAAGTGAACAGATCCAGAACACTATACAGTACTGTACAGACATCATATTTCCTTTCTGCCGATGTTCACTGAGGGATAAGCAAGAACCACAGTGATCACATGGTGGGCTTCACAATTTTGTTATAATTTGAGTGACGGCGCATCCTTTTTTTGATATTTGTACGTAAAGGAGTGAGTGAATACGGTTTTAAGCCGCTTTTAGCAACATTACCGCAACATCACAGCCGGGAACATCAGTAATGGGCTTTACACATTGTACCCATGCGGGAAACCGAACCCCTGTATTCGGCGTGACGAACGAACACTTTAACCAGTAGGCTACCCTACCGACCCTGTACGTACCAGAACATTCCTGGGTTATCAAATGAGTTTCATCTCTTTCAGAACCTGAGGGTTTCTTTTAGGCATTGCGAGTGAAATGCCGTTGCGACCGACAGTTGAAAAATATGGGACATCTTTGTCACCCTGTCTATCACTCTGCAAGGTGCATAACCAACACCTGATGAATTCTGATCGCATAGTCAAGATACTGTTTTTGATTAGGGTACCCATGTCAAACAGAGTGGGTTTGCACCATGAACTGGGGTTAGTCCAGACAAACACACTCAAGAAGCAGCCACAATATTCACATGCACGCTGTAAACAACGCAGTAGTCTTCAACCCGACGTTAAACCACTACATACGACATGACCCTCGTTTTCCAAATGAAACTTCAAAAGTCACAAACTGCAGACATTCGATCAGGAGACAATTCACGATTTATCGTAACCGCATTCAAGAATTCCTCAATGCATTTTAGCATACGTTATCTGTACCTGTGGAACCAAGCCCCACGACCGTAAAAGAATAATGTCGATAGTCTTGATCGAAAACAAGATTTTAATCTGCTCATAATCTCGTCTGAAATATATAGTTTGTGAAATGTCATTTCAAAGTATTATACAAACACATTGACATATTGGTGGGGGGAGTGCACATATACCATGAAGTTCAAAGGTGTTGCGCACTCCCGCACCCCTCCTCTGAATCCCCTGATATGTCATATGAACACCTACTGTTATACCACATTGCTAACTACATGTGCGCCAAATGTTCACCAAATGTTACATTTGTTTCAAACAAAGCCATGGGCAGAATGTGTGAAGCCCATTTCTGGTGTCCCTCGCCGTGATATTGCTGGAATATTGCTAAAAGCGGCGTAAAACCAAACTCACTCACTCACTCACTCACTGAAACAAAGCCGAGTCATAAAATTTTAAAAATGGGGCTACACTATTTCTAAAATTCGGATTGGAAACTCTAATAGGATTCTAAAGTATTGGTTACACGTACATCTATAATATGTAAAAATATATTCATAGATAAAGAAAAATATACTTGTATACACATAGACTTACCTTTTTGGCTGAAATGTTATCACTCTTGTTTTTCTATACACATCCAAGTACTGTCTGCTTTCTGTGCATCTGCTACGACAGTGTTGCACTCGGGCTTCTGTACCCTGCGTTGTATACAGGTCTTACTGACTATGAGATTGTTGGTGCAAGACTTCTGTACCAGGAAGTCTAATATAATGCATGGGAAACTGCGGTTAACAAAGGCAGCATAGTATGGCGATACAACTGTACGAGTTAAGCGTCCGTGTCAACTACACTAATGTTCAACACGACCTTGAAAAGGAAACTTGACACGACTGACATTTTTTTCTTTACTTACTGAATACCGGATACCTACCAGCCATATTGTTTAGTGTCCCGTCCACATCCTATTATAGGAAAGCACGAGCATCAAAATATAAAATTAACCTTAAAATCGGATTATTTGGGACCACTTCCGGTAAGTAAAACTAACCAAAGATTTTTAAACTGAAAGATAAGTTATAACAAATAAAAATATATGCATTTTGAAAAAGCGGAGCTACGTGAATTTGAATTTTGAGCGATTGAGCATGGGAAAGTTACCTAACCCTAATCTAGCTTAACCAAAGAAGATATCCAAAGGCTAAAAAAGTAAGTACTCTAAGATAGTAAAGTACTATAAAATCGAGACGCTTTGCGCACATTTTCCACAGTTCTAAAGTATTCAAGACAAATCAAGGTTGTGACTCTAACCCGTCGATTTACCGCATCAGCGTGAGGAAATCACGTAATGAAAGTCACGTAGATATGTCGTATAGGGCAACCGGAGGGGAGGAGAAAGCATCATTGTGTGGAGACACTTGCTTATCATCACAGGATCCCTCTACAAGGATTCCATCTGTGCATCGTTTCTGTTAAATCGTTTCTGTTAAGTCGTATGCTTCATATTTCACTAGAAGTTTTTTAATTTCAGCAGACATCTCAATGTTAATAACTAAACATTGTTGATCTTTGTTTACTACTTTACAGCCAAAAATGAACATATCACAAATTACTTTGTGGCTAACCTGAAAGAGAATGCACAGGAATATCTATAAATTGTAGCAGTATTTTCCTCATTTTTAATCTTATTTTTCCTATTTCCGAAATAGATACATCAACACTGTTAAAATCTTTACAGTACATTGTACTTAAATATGCATTCATTTAGTGAAATAAAATGAGCAGCTACACGTGTGGTGTTGAAATCCATTTCCCGGAGAGAAACAAGCATGGACAGTCACTCCTTGCGTCAGGCAACACGACATTATAACATACTTTACTACAAAGCCAGTGCAATTTCAAATCGGATATTCCTACAATCTGCACGTATTTTGCTAACATGGCAACTTACACCTTCGTAATATACTCCTCCTGAAGCATTTATTCAAAACAAAATGTCGGACTTAGAATTTGTAGTTATTGTACTGATGTTGCTGAGAATGACGGGTGACCGTTCGACTACTTGAATTCTATAAACAATACTGTATGCTCCAACATATAATTGCATATTTTCAAACACGCTGTAACGCTCTACTTCTCGGTTGTAAGAACAACAGAGAATTGTGTACCCAAACACAGCCACCATTGAAGACATCTTGCCAAACGCTGTCGATACCATTTTACAACAATAAGCCTTTTGGCGATGTCACACGAGATTCACCTCCGTGGTATGTGTCCCTGAATAATAGTATTATATAGTCTAGCGTCGCTAACAAGGAAGTTTAAAGTAATGTCTTAACGACTGGATCCCTTGCGTTGTTACTGGATGTGTCAGTGTCAGTGTCATTGTTATATTAATAGCGCCCATCAACTAGGAAGTTCAAAGAATGTGGCTCAGTTGGCATCCATGTTCATAACATTGCACAACATGTTCCACAAAGAAACTTCAATCTTATCATGTACGTGCTTCGCTGATTATATAATGTATAGCTGTCTGAAGACCCAGTATGTGTATTGAAGCGACATACGTTATTTTCAAGTAGACGGATGTGCAATCCATGTACATGCTTTAATGACTTAATCATCGTCGTAATTTCATTCTTGACCTTTTGAATGGTCACGTGATCAACACAGGAGCATGTGAACAACACGCTGAAAGTTAAGCTTATCTTTTGATATGTGTATTATAGTGTAGGCAAAATGAGTTACCTTCTAAGCGCACCGGCTTAGATCTAGTTGTGAATCTTGCATTACAATGCTATATTGAAATGCTAAAATTGGGAATTTATACCAAACCATTACTATTGCATATGCACTGGACCTAAGACTATCTTGATGACAAGTTTGTTGTCTACTCCAGGTAAACGATAGACGATGACACAGACATAACACACATGTACTTGTATGATGGGTTGGGTGTGACAGTGATGAGAATAGATCCGCCAAGCACCACTATTTTCAGCTAGCCTTATTCTTCTACAGCCACAAGCTGCATCAGATCCCAATTAATGGATTAAAAAATACACTGAAATATTTGGATGTTCTTGATAAAATGTGGCCGCTAATTGACAGGGTTTAGTTGTATAGATTTGACATAAGTTGGACAAACCTTCTTGTAAACCAAATGTTGTCCTACTGCCTTCTAGTATCCTGGCGGCTCATTGCAGGCATGTCATACATAATCCTGGGTTCGAACCCAAGACGCTCCCTGTGTTTGATTCTGGCTTGTGAGCACCATGTCAAAGCAAAAACGTCTAAGGCCCGTCGACGTACTTCCCAAACCCTGCTCAAAGCATGGTTAAATTCCGGTCTTTATTGGATTCGTGGCATCTTTCATGTACTTTTTGTTGTGTTGTATTTACCATCATACTTGTCAATATTATCTGTTCTTGTTTATAAAGTGGTGCGCACGCTATGACGTTTACATGTGTTATCTGCGAGATATTTAATGTACTATTCGCATGGCAACACAACAGAATGCACAACAGTAACTAAATATATAACGAATTAGGAAACATAGCTATTTATTAATGCAGTAAAATGCAAGATATTTGAACCACCGAATTCCACCCCATTATGTTGCCTTCTGTGTATTACCATTGATTCTGTCAAGGCAGAGATATGGATGAGAGGTCCACGTGGTGCACGACGTGAATGAGCGTACCGTTTGCTTCCCTAAAACTGTTATTGAATAAAAACGTGGATAGCTTTCAAATCGCCAGACACATAAGATGTGTCTCTCTGATCGTTAACCTACCTGCTCGATTGTGCAATACAGAGCCCAGCGACTCATATGCTTCCCCATACATCGCTAAAATCACACAGTGCTCCAAGTTTGCATCTCCATCTGCGAGTGCATTCATTGATTAAACATTTACAGTCTGTTGTGTTTATCTAGAGATGCTGTGTAGTACTGAAGTTTTCACGAGACGTCTGATGTGAACCCTACCGTAGATCCTCAGGACAGGGGGACGCGGAGCTATGACTAGTAGAGTTGCATCCCTTACATCCCCTACATCTGGGGATGATTCCCACCCTTTAGTCTCTGAGTGAGGCAAACTAAATATCAGAACCAAAGGCATTGTGTATTCTTAGCTTTGATCATGGGAGCCGTTCACCTGTCAGTGGGGTAGACAAACCACGTGACCCAGACTACCAGTTGTCAGACTTGTCAGCTTGTAGAAGTCAGTGGCTGAGTGGGTTAGATCGATGACTTCCTCGGTCGGGAAAGATAGGTCTAAACCGACTGCGTTTCGTATATATACTTACTTGATCTGTGTACAGGAATAAAAGTGTGAGCACATAGTCATAGTAGTGAATCCGAGTACCGACCCTCACCCAAGACAGACCAATTGTGAGACCCTCTGTTCCATCTCGACCGAGGCTTATATATAAACCTTCACGACAAAGGATCAAGTCTTTAATACGCAGAATACAAGTAAAGCACAGAACAGTTTAATAGCTCCAAAAGAACACCAAATAAAACCAACAGTGGCACAGTGAGTGTATATATAATATATCACACAGTATGTATCATGGTTGTTGTCTCCAACAGTAGATTGATTGATTGCATAGTATACATTCTACAAACGTCTGGATGGGCACATTATTATGTGAAATGTCCTTAGATATATACTTATCAAACCTGCAGAACATTTTCAAACCAATGTAAACTAAAATTATGCTTGATAACGTTTTATCTCTCCAATTTAAAAAAGAGAATTCTTTTGACACGTAAATCAAGCCATGACGTCGAGGAAATAGATGCCCATTGGGTTATTAACACTTCTGACAATAAAACATCATTAACAATAATACCGTAGGTGTTGTTATAAAACAAGATATAAAAAACAAGCTATCCAGTAAGCTACAGTGATTTATGCTGTGATGCCGATGAATGTGATAACAAAGAGATGCCTGGTAGTCCATGGTGACATTGTAACAAAGAAAGGAAAGTGAAAGGCTAACTATGTCACGTGTAAACCACAGATGAATATATACCAGGTAGTGTTTCTACGAATTCAAGGAAGGTTACACCTGTGACGCGAATATGTTAATACAAGAGTAGGCATGAATATCGCGCTGCAATAATACTATAAACATTGTATCAAATTAATCTAGTTATATTAGTTTGTTGTAAACCCATATTCCAACTGAATGAAAATATATCACTTCGGACAATTTGAATTCTGCACCAGATAAACAAGTGAATGACCTAATGAACATAGATTCACGTCGTTAGGTTACGACGTTTCATCAACATCTGTGTTTTGTTTTGTTTAATGTATGTTTCATGTTTCATGCTTAACGCAGCACCCACCAATATTACACACCAACTACATAACGGTAACAGAGTAACTGAGTATCGATCAGCCGAATATGGATTCGATGACACGCATCAACAAGGTCAGTAAGCCTGAGGGACGGTGAGGTAGCCTAGTGATTAAAGCGTTTGCTCGTTACGTCGAAGATCCGGGTTCGAATCTCCACATGGTTACAATGTGTGAAGTCCATTTCTGGTGTCCCCTGCAGTGGTATCGTTGGAATATTGCTATAAGCGGTGTAAAACAAAGTCAATCAATCAATCAGTAAGTCTGACTACCTGAACTCGTCAGTCGTCTATGACAGGCATGGGCGGTTTAGTTTTTTTATAAAAGATTTCTATATTTCTTAAAAATGTTTACGCATATGAGTTATGTGCGACTGATGTAATGTGATATTCAGAATTTTTCGTATATGTCACTTGATTTACTGTTCAAGGTAACAGGCGGTCGTTCGCCAATGTTCAGGTACATCTGATTTTCAACAGCTTCATATATGTTTGTTTTGTCCGACCAACAAGTTTGTATAGAACAGTATGGTTCTTGACCAGCTCCTCCATCGCGTGCGTTGACATCCAGTTTGTCATACGTCGTGTCTTCAGGTTTTGTCTCTGTAGACTTAGCGTTATCAGATGGCCCTGTGTTGTAGTACACAGTTTGGTCAGAGGTCTTCGGTTGGCCTCTGAAATACACAATCACTATGGCTAATGTATGTACATCAAAGGACTCACTCAAACAAATACAACAGTTCATAAATAAATACAGATCAATTCATTCTGTCAAATCTCAATTAACAAATACAGTAAACAAATCCAAAGTATAACTCCCCAAAACTATGTATTATGCTCAGGAACCTGTTTTCACTAGTTAAACACAATGCCAAATCATTTCCCACTTTTATGAACGCATGAACTTAATTTCGCAAAATACCAATAATATTCAATCCGGTTTACGTAGATTATAATGACGGTAGATAATTGGCAAATGATATCTTTTTTGAGACTATGCCCGAGTCGTAATAAAAAACCCACTAATTTAAGTAAGTAGTGGTTGAAGGAGTTAAAATTTTACATTACCGTAAAACAGTTGCTTGAGTATCACAGATTAGGTATGAAACAAACTAATTCAATATTAAGAAATATTACCTACTCGGACTACTATTTTGTAGAAATTAAAACTCAGCTATAGACCACTAGCAACCAAAGTTAGACCACCTTCCCGGGGGTCAAGGGGACTTACGGTACTTCTGGTTCCTACATGATTCCTGGGAGGATTTACGTCATCACTTTGGCCATTAGTGGCTGTTTGGTTACTTACATCAATGAAGTTGGACTCACGTGCCTTTAAATAAGTAATTTGTTGAGCAGGCAGACACTACTAAGCTGAATGGAGTTTGAAAATAGATTCTGCGAAGTGGCATCATCAGTATTGGATAGGTTATCCAAACGTGATATCAATTTAATCGAATTGGGTTTCATATTGAGGGTGCCAGGTATTCCTGGAAAATACAGTACCTTCGTTTCCTCCTCCAGACAACAACTCCAACGACAATGCCGGCAACTGCAACGACAGCGGACGCTGTAGCCGACACCACCAGTACAAGATTTCGTCCGATCAATGAACTACCTGAAGGAAGATGCTCCGATATTAGAACTCCATGGCTTTATATTTAACATTATGACGTATTATTTCTATTATGAATTCTTGTTTGTCAAAATCATTTCGTCCGATCAATGAACTACCTGAAGGAAGATGCTCCGATATTAGAACTCCATAGCTTTATATTTAACATTATGACGTATTATTTCTATTATGAATTCTTGTTTGTCAAAATCATTACAATTATTTATTGTTGTAAAAATGAAAATGATAGTAATAAAAAGATGTACGCCTCTCCGTGGTGAGCCTAGAAAGCGAACCAAACTTAAATTACCAATTTAGGGCTAACCGTCCGAAGATCGCTAAATTCTGAGTTACAGATTGACATGAAGAAAGCTGTCCTACAATGCCGCAGCTCAGTCAAGTCTTCCTCCTGTACATAAACCAACCAAACTAGTGATGGGACGTGCTATAAGGGGGTATAGAACCCGACTAAGAATATATTGTACGTAACAATTAATTTCCAAACATCTTGGGTGTGCGAAAGCCATATGCTTGTCAGAAATCCTACAAATAAATTAATGACAAAATTGTTAAAACAGCACTGAGACAGAGCCATGCCCATGTTTCCATTTTTGACGGAGCAGAATATTTGCGACCACCTCCGGTATTTGAGAAAACAAAGCTAAACAGTTCGACAATTAACTGAAGCAAGAAGGGTATATCCTGGATAGACCTTAGCCAGGGTCATATGATATACAAAACTGATCCTGAAAACTGTTATCTCATGTGGAAAGACAATTACTTCACTGTTTCAATTTTTCTCGGGGATACAGGTGATTTTCCAGATTGGTAATGGAAAGGCCAAAAACATTTCTTCTAGAGAAAGGAGATTTGACTGACCCTCGAGTCTTCTGCCCTCTTGTCGTAATATACAATACCAAATCTTCACAGGATGTTTGACAAGTCTCGTGCCATCCACGCTTTTCTAATGATAAACTTCATAGAAAGCAGACGATAGTAAGGAAGGGATCTTGGACTTGCAAGGATCATCTTCTTGTAAAAAGTACGATGTAAGGTTTGGAATATATCTACATACAGCCTGAAGACAAATTCTACCAACAAGCCTGATCTTGTCCCTTTTGACAACGCCAATGAATTAATAATTGTCTGTCCCTATTTCAGGTCCCATTGTTCTCGGTGCACTTTGTTTGTTACCTCCTGATCTCTTGGGAAGATAACTGTTTGAGACCTCGAAATAGAGTGAGGAAGGAGATCCGGTCTGACTTACTTTGGACAGGAGATGGTTTGCACGTCTCCACATCATCTGAACAAACAACATCGCTTCTCTGCTGAGCCTCATCATAAGCAACCACAGTTATGTAAAAATTTCCACAAGACGGCGCTGTCCATGTGGCTTCAGTAGTGCGTGTTTATTCTATCTGCATAGTAATTACACCTTTATGTACCCTAATGGTGCTTAGACATGTGAAAGCAAACCCTGTGCGTTGGCATTACAGTACAGAGAACTTGGGAAGAACATTTTTCTGAAACTACTATGAATTTTTCTTTATATATCCTCATGTGTCAAAATTATATGAGGGAGGACTAACGTTTTGGGTTTTGTTGAGGTCAAACTCGTGTCCCTGTACACATCTGGGTCCGAACGTGTACTGATAAAAGGCAATTGCATCTTCTCTATCATAGAATCCTTCCCAGTGGACGTGGAGCAGTAGGTTGTCCTGGTAGTCCACTTCCGGTAGTCCAGACTGACCATCGCGGACAACGCCTGGATGAGGGGGACTCCCAAACACTTGGATCTAAACACACAGTGAATGCTGAGTTTCATTAACCTATCATTTCCATTGAAGCATATGTTTACAGAGCCAGGGTGCATTCTGTGTGAATGGTCAAATGGCAAAATCGCATTTATTCCAAACAATACAAAAGCGAACAAACCCAAACGTAAACATACATATTACCTCAGTACTACACCGATATGTTTGCCAAATGTGTTTAACCTTTTTGCAAACAGTGGCCAACACCCATTTCATAGAGGTTTTTAAGTACAAAGATCAGAACCAGAAAAATATCAGTTTGGTTTGAACAAAGTAGTTTCTATCTCTGTGGTGCCTTTTTCCGTCAGTGAATCATGTCACTCAATTATACCTACATTGCAGTCACTCTGTGGCTCATAGGGTTATCGTTGAGACAATTGTGTTTAATGTGACAACATGGTTTAGGGATGTGCACGACGGCTTAATACAAATGGACGAGTATAGATTGAGGGACCACTCCCTTATGGTTTATGTTTGTGAAATGTTTGATATTTTGGATTTTAACGTTAAAGCTTGAAATAGATAACGTTTGAGCCAAAATTACATGTAACACATGCTATTAATGAGCAAACACTGTCCCTCATCACGATGTTATTAATACTCATGTTAGTTTAAATGCTAATCCGTAACACTGAATATAAACACATTTAACAGACTTGCCTCGGGGTTAAAGACTTTACCAATGAAGGTTCCTACATTCTTAATATAACTGGTCTGTCTAGTTATGATTCCTTTTCTCACTAGCACCATAATAAGCCCTTTTTTACAACTGAGAGTTGTTTTTGCTGTGGGTTAGGTTGTACTCAAACGCAAGTGGCGAAATTGTCAGTTCAACTCTGTGGCATGAGTCATGTTATATACACAAATTAATGACAGGTGAGCACATTTAAGAATTTAGCCACTTGTACCTTTATTTCCCGTTCACTTGTGAGCTTAGCATGATTTGTAACTCTGACTTGAAACCAGTATTCCTTTCCTTCAGCCAACTTGACGTCCCTCATGTCTTCCAGGGCTGGTTTCACTTGGAAGTGGGGATGATAACATGTGCCAGCTGGAGTACAATAACAGTTACCATCCCTTGCATCGTGCATGGTGTTGCAGTCGTCCAGAGTCTGGAATCATTCTTTCATTAAAACATTAAATTTAATGACATTTCATTGGAGTTTTACTCATATAGAATTGTAATTATTACTGTGTATTGAGGTTCAATAGTTCGAAATACAAATTCTAAGAGTAATAATGGTAGACATACACGGGTGTTAGTTGCTTTTGTCTTTGTCCCATTGACCTAAATTCTGGACAGCAAGCGGAACCAGTCACTTACACGGTAGACTTGAGTAGAAATTAATTGACAGATAACATCATATCTTCATCTTGCCGTTTTTGTACGAGTCTCCATTCCACCGTTTCCACGCCACTGTGTGCATCGTACACATAGAACTCCAATCTAGAATCAGAAAGAGATATTCGTCATAAAGTGTTTCAGTTTGTTTCAGATTTATGTCCTCAAACATCATTATTACACATCATTCTACTTAGTACATAGTCGCTTTACACAACGTTAAAACCTTCAGGATAAGATCGTGCATGCTGCAACGTCGTTACGTTTGGACCCTTACAGATGAATTATACGCATTGACAAATGGCGAAACTAGTTTCAGCATTCTTACATAACATCATAAGGTTCTTCCACTCGATGCATACTGATATTGAGACTGCCAAAGATTTTCTATGACCGGAGGGGATGTGTCGATCCGGACTGTCACATGTTCTTCAAGGAATTCTCGTCTGATGTCATAGGCTCGCACCCAGAAGCGTACAGTGTCCCCGCCCACTAGTGAGGGTGTTATGGTCTGTGACTGATTCAGACCGTGACTGGTGAACAGGTTATCAGCTGGTAGACTGGTAATGGACGACGCTCCTTGGTGGTCGACTTCACAGCATGAAGATCCCACATCACAGCATGTGCTCTGGTTGTGTTTAGAGTTTCCCACTAACATTTTCGTATTGAGTGGAGGAGTGAGTTTAGTTTTCCACAGTGTTAGCAATATTTCAGCAATAGCACCGCAGGGGCACCAAAATAGGCTTCTCACACTGTACAGATGTGGGCATTCGAACCTGGGTCTTTGGCATGAGGAGCGAACGCTTAATCCGCAAGGCTACCCTACATCCCTGTCATATGGAAACGTGCGTTTCAATAAGGTGACAATCTACATTTACTATGAATCATGCCGCTTGATTCTCTGTAAAATTATGATTTTCACCATTTATCTAAGGGAACCAAAGGCTAACTAATATGTCTTGAATTCGAGTACACCACATACCTTGAGCATTTCTGACATCACCTGTATCTCTGCTTCCATCGTTATCATCATAGCCCGAGCCGATGTCACCCAGAGAAGCTACGCCCAGGAGCCACTTGTTGTTGTGGTGGACTGTGTTGATGTATCTGTTGGTCCAGTCTACTGTCACTGATGATGACGTAGTTTGCCACTCTGATGTTGCTAATGATGCTGTTGTCACACGGAGAGATGTATTCGCTCGTGTTGTTACAGTTGAAGTACCATCATATATCAGGATTCTTCTTGTACTTCTGTGATTAACTCCCCTGTCAAGGCAGTTAGGACAACCGAGTACACGCCTACCTCAGTCAGTGTGTAGCTGTTGGTCGTCTGAAACATGTACATATGAAAACAAAACATATGTCTGTAAAGTGAACACGTGACCACACACCAAGACAATTCACATTTCAAGATCTTTGAAACGATGAATCAAGTGGCAGACTTTTTCTTCTACTTATTATCACCAGGATTTGTAAAAGAAATGCACGCCCACGCATGCACTATCACACGACCACATGTAAGCATGTATAACTTAACATTTACTTTTTTTAAGCATCTAATCAATCATAAATTAAGCTAATGAAATATTTGAACTACAGCAATGAATCCCTCACAGTTGAGCTTGTCAATGTTGGAGTGTTAAGACGACGTTTATCTTTGAGGACATCCCCAACAGCGTGGAGTTCATACACGTCCCTCACAAAGTGGTCGACTCCTGCGTCAGCATCTGACCAGCCACTCCAGCGGAGGTTCAATGTGGACTGAAACAAGTCATGGAATTATTCGCACTGTAAACCATCAACATCAGGGTGTGAAATATAACTGTGGTCATATACTTACAGTCTTGATAACATCGGGAACATTCAGCATGCTGCCAACACAGGCAGTAGTACCAATACAGTGATAGGGATTCACCAGGTCTATGGACACAGTAAAGGTGTGGGTCTGTGTGGCACCGTTGTAGTAGTAGGTCGCTAGTGTGTTACTCTCCTTGTTCCAGACCTTCACATACCCTCCATTACTTGTTGAATAAGTGAATTCCATACTGAAAATATTATTAATATGAAAATATTTTGCAAATCATAGTTATGATGAACATTATAAGCAATGATACGCAGTAGCACTATATTTCGCGGGAAATGTAATCAAAAGTAACCAATTAAACGGTTCGTTAGTATACTGTGCATTTGTGATGTAAAGTCAACAGTGTCTATTTCACAAGGTTCCCAACATATGGGCACTTAAACCTCAGTGATTACGTTTTGAAGTTGTTTCTGTGAATTGACGAGTGTTAACACGAACAGAACTCCTATATTTAGAAGCTTTTGTTACACGTTTACAAATGAATGTCCATCGTAACATTATCAAAAAGGCAGTATCACCATACCACGGAAACGAATATAAAACAAAAGTTAACTAACGTATTACCATAAGTGTACTCGAAAGTAACGGTGAGAAAACCCTACGAAACAGTAACAATCAAATGTCCATCGTGTCAAACATAGTCTGAGCTGTACCCCTTCATTTTACAGAACACATATTTCAACCATATTCATCTGCCCAGCACTCACACATCTCTGTGTTGGAAGGGTAGAGGAAGTACAGACGCCCCTGATGGGTTTCCTTCACAGGTGTACAGGTCTGTATCCGGGCTGCTTCGGCTGGCTCCACCACAGTTATAGACCTTAGTGGAGACAACACCTGCATCTTGGTACAACAACACAGTCAGGTGAGTGAATTATGCTGTTCAGAGTGATGATCTCAGCAGCAGCAGCAAAACAAGAAGCACGAGTTGAATAGTTCTTGCAAACACATGGGATTATCACTGTTTGATGGTGATTAAAAAAACCATGCATGCTTTTGGTAGAGTCGGAATTGTTCCGTCGATTCTACTTCATACTGTATTTATAGATTTACCACAGCGGGATAGTACATACCGTTGCAAAGTCATTTGAAGTTTACTATATTATTACACCTACTGCGTTAGAAAATCCGTTCGATCTTTGAATGCATTAATAAGTTCTGAGGCGAAACGCTATATTGGGCATATTCACTTTGTGCCCTTCTGGCATACCTCTCTTTAGTTTGAATGTAGCAGAACCACTGACGATTGCAACACGGAAGTCTTCAATGAAGGCTAGTCTGGATGGAGGTACCATTTTGTATTCTGCCGTAAACTTGTAGTACATTCTGGATGGAGAGTTGATGTTTGACCAGCTAGTGGACTGAGATGGACCACTGTTGATGTTGGGAGGT